ACTTTGTCAAGCCCTTCAGAAGAAAACTCAAAACATCTTAACTGCTATGAGATTTGTCCATACTACAAAAAGTATCCTTCAAGCATTGAGAGAAGATAGCTGGGAAGAATTTCTTCAAGAGGTGAATTTTTTTTGCTCAAAAAATGATATACATATACCTGACTTTGATGGTTCGTACATAGTTGGTCGTTCTCGTGGTCGTGAGTATCCTACCATTGAACATATTACCACTTTGATATTTTCAATACAGTCATAGATTTTCAGATAATGAAGTTAGATACAAGATTTAATGAGACATCATTAGAACTCCTTTTTCTCTCAGTACGGCTTTGGTTCCAAAAAATTCTTTTGAATCAGTTAACATGGATAAATATTTGCAAACTTGCGGAGAAGTTTTATCATGAAGATTTTACGCAACAAGATATTTATTGTTTGAAAATTTATTTGCAACATTATCAGAATGATTTGATTTCTGAACCTCGATTTCAGGTGCCTACACTTTCTAATTTATGTTGGGAATTAGTTGCAAGTAGAAGATTGGAAAATTACGTCATTTTGACTAAATTGATTTGTTTAGTACTGACACTATCAATTTCAACAGCGACTGTGGAGTGACCATTTTCAGTAATGAAACGTTTGAAGACGAAAATTCGTAACAAAATGAATGATGGTTTTCTTGTCGATTGTTTAACACTAAATATTGAATGAGAATTTAGTATGAATTTAGATCTAGATTCTATTATAGATGAATTTTATGCTATAAAATATCGTCGGGTACAATTGTAATATGTAACGTTATATTACAATTTTTCTTATTGTATATAAATTTTATTCGTACATTAAATTTTAAAAAATTTTACCTCCTGTACCATTAATTCCTGGCTCCACCCCTGGCTAAGCCCTCATTTGATCTCCATTTTTTTTCTAAATATGTTTTTCTATCTGAATCTTTTTTCTTTCATTTATTTTGTTTTAAATTTTAAATAATACTTCAAAATTTAAATTATAACTATCCCATTACATCTCTCGAAAACTCTTGACGGGACATGGACAAACTCGACTCTCTTTTTATTTTGTTTCATATTTAGGTAATAACGAACATATCCTAGAAACAAAATGGTCTATGATCAGATTGCTATCCCACCACAAGATGTAATTGCCAACACCTTAGCCAATAAAATCTCTACTGCACTGGTCCTTCCAAGACCAAATGCTCCGGGAGTGATGTTTCGGAAGTGTAGATGGTCTGCACCACCTCAAGACGCCTTCAAGCTCACTGTAGATGGTGCCTTGTTCTTCGATTTTCACAAGGCTAGAATCGGTATTATTTTACGGGATCATAAAGGAGATATTGTTATGGCTGCTAGTGGCTCTAAAAAATGTATCCTAGAACCTGGACATGTTGAAGCGGCTGCACTTATGAGAGGCTTACAACTATGTCTCAATCTGGGCATTTCTAACTTATTGGTGGAGAGTGATTGCATGTTTCTTGCAAATGATCGATAAACCAGATTTAACCTCAGCATCAATCTGCTTCCTGGTTGCCGAAATAAAAGAGTTAATGCTACGATTCCCTCATTGTAGCCTATCCCACTGCAATAGAGTTACTAATCAAGCTGCTCACTACTTGGCGAGGCATGCATGGTCCCTTGAAGATATGGTACTTTGGTGGCATAGTGTCCATTTTTTCATTGAGAATGTAATTTTCATTTATAAACGCTATTGTAACTTTTCTTAAGGCTAATTGCCTTTCATGAATGAAATCATTTTCCCATCAAAAATAATAAAAAATAACGAACATATCGGAAGTTTAGAAAGTGGGCTTCGACTGTCCTATCCAACTTAAAAATTTAACTTGAAGATCATAAGTAAAAGAAAAAAAGAAAAACAGACCCGCCATCCTGGAGGGGAAGGACAACCCCATTCCGTCCAGTTGTCTTCCCTTTTAAGGTGTGAATCGTAATAACTACAAATCGTACAACACTGATCCATACCTGTTCAGGCAGCCAAAAGTTTCTTTAGCTTATACTTTCATAAAACAATTTCAACATTAATTAGCATCAATGTCCACATTGGTACATTATACTCTGAATAACAAGATTTTAGTGTACATTTGTTTTCTTTAATACTACAAAACATGCTTATAATGCACAGCATAAAAGATGAATTGAAACAATCAAGGCAATAGTAAAAGATGGTCTTTAATCAAAAAGTATATAAATGAACAAAACTTTTCCAGAACAGATCAAATCAAAGAATGTAATTAGTACGCAAACTAAACTTCTACAGAAGCAAAGGGACAAAGTAAATTAATGAAAACAAAAAAGGCGCACAACACGGCCACGAATTTCCCAAGTTAGTCTATATCGATTACAGATGAACATTCCTATGGTTAATACTAGTAACATTTTGAAATGGTAAAAGATAGAAATGAAGCAAACATTCATCAATTTCGAAACATTATGCCCTTCATTGTCTCCAAGTTTGAACCACTATGCATCTCCAGCAGTAGCATAGATTGGCCCATTAGATCTGAATCCACGACCCCGGCCACGAGTTCCCCTCCCACGGCCACGACCTGCAACAGAAGTCCATGAGACAGCGAATATCATATTTACAATTGGCCAAGCTTAACATACATGTGAGAGGCTGGTCTATTTCATAAAAAGACTACAGCTCGTGAAATTTCAAGGAAATCAAAGCAATTGAGCTTACTAACAACAAACAATTGGTATTTTCAACCTACAGTATCCAGTTTCTCGTACAAAATTGCCTAATCTTACTGGGAAATTCAAATAATAGGGAAGAAATGTCTACCTCGGCCCTGAAGAGGTGCTTCTTGATTGTAGCCTCCAGCATCATGCTGAGTATCCAACTGAGAGCCACCGTACCCTCCCCTACCACGGCCTCGGAAATTGCGACCTCTGCCACGTCCCCTACCCCGGGTATATCTAGGATTCTGATCATAACCTCCATCCTCATACTCTATAGGTGCAAAACCATTCCCTGAAATGGCATACAGCTATTATATATGATACTATTTAAGAAGTGCTCAAACTTTCAGAAGCCCAGATATGGAAGGTTCCACCAACCTAGTTACAAAACCAGTTGCAAAAAACTGCCAAAAATTCCAAAACAGAAGGTACAATGAACAAGCATTACCCTACCACTCTTAACAGTCCATGTCTCTAGGCTCAACCTTAACTAAAAATCAAAGCAATTTACTTGCCCAAACAATATAAACTTTGCCATAAAACTACCCGCTGGAGGTAGCATTTTTCATGTCTCACACCCTTGAGTAGTCCATATCAAACCCCACTTTGACACCAGTGGTGTTTTGTATGGAAAAAGCAATGGTCAGGAAAATTCCAACAAAAACAGACATTCTGCTCCATTGTAGATGAAGCTTATTGCAGCTTGATCTATACGAGTCACCTAGAATTTCACGAAAATTTCTGCAATTATCCTCAGAAAGTTGAGCACTTTGGTCTCAGGTTTATAGTTTTGTTTCATTTTATATTCCAAATTTTGGGTTTTTTCGATTTCAAGCCCAAGATTTGGACCAAGTGTGGGTGATCTGTTTCTTATCTTGTGCTTTTATATATCTAATCTCTCAACATTAATGCAGAATTAAAACAGGATCTAGCTCCTACACAAACAAGTACAGATTTTTTATCTTTTTCCTTAAATCTCTGGCCTCCCGTATCTTTCAATTTTAATTGAAGAACTTTCCTGTTTTTAAAAATCTATTTCATAACTTCTCGAAATCACTTTCTTCTCTCTGTATATCGAAAACAGCATGAAATTTTTAATAATCAATTTTCTGCACATGTTGCACATTTTTGGGGTTTTAATATTGATGAATCCCTGAGTGGAAGGAATTTAGAGAACGAAATCTTGAAGGTGGGTGTTATCAGAAAGATTTCAAGTACAAGGTTCCAAAGAAATAGAATTGATTCCATGCTTATTGAAAAAAAATTCACATACTTCATTTTCCTTCAAGGATCAAAATTCCATGCATTATTTTTAAAAATTTTGTCAAGCCATTACATTCCTCTATATTTTTCCAATATTACATTTTTTTCAAAAAAAAAATTGTGGTTTTTCAAATATAATATTTTTGTTTTGAATTCTCTTTAATGATCATGATATAATATGGAATTTCATATTTCACGGGAAGGAACAAATTAAAATTTTTGTCTTGCCACATGAGAGACCAAACACTCGCTTTTAATAGCATTTCTTACTACAATAATTTTGCTCTAGTATGTTATGAAAGATGGTTAGTGCACATACCATGTGTTCAACAGAAATATGTTATTCTAACAAAAAAGAAGTTTGATAATTAAAAACCATCATTACCAAGACTGCAACAGGAAAATCAATACCATCAAATAAGGGTGACCAGATTAGATGGTTCAATAGAATGGAAGCAACCTAATGTGCACAGCTCAATAAAGGATCGGTCTTGCTACTTGTACATCACTAATTTATTTTTTAATTTATCATTAAAAAAAAAAAGAGGATTAGGCAGGGTAATGCGCGCATAGGCTCGCAGTAGGCGCGCCTTTTAGATGGAAATCTCATTTTTCCCTCATTTCCCGAATTCGACGCGATTTAATCGCGCGTAAGCGGCGCTTTTTCACGTTTTTTAGAACATGGCCATATGTTCAACTGAAATATGTTATTCTAATAAAAAAGAAGTTTGATAATTAAAAACCATCATTACCAAGACTGCAACAGGAAAATCAATACCATCAAATTAGAGTGACCAGATTAGATGGTTCAATAGAATGGAAGCAACCTAATGTGCACAGCTCAATAAAGGATAGCTCCAATCAAAATAACTTTTTAATGAGGCAAAGCAAGTAAGCATAGCAAAGATAAAGATAGATCTCTATTCTCTCCAAGTCCGGAAAATATACACAACTAACTAGAGATCTTAGTAGCAAGCTATATATCATTCACAGGCCAGAAATAATTGGAAAGTCATTGGTTAACCCCGCCCTCCAAAAATAAAAAAAAGGGAATTCATCAATCAGATTTCATACCTGGTGTAGCTCGATACCTCCCCCGTCCTCTACCAAAACGGCCTCTTCCACGAGCAGTAGGTGATCCCTCTGCACAAGAAAAACATATTAAAAAGATGCTTTATAGAGACGTAGTTTGAAGAAAGACAAGGATCACAGGACTTCAAAGCACCTCCTTCATACTCCGTAAACACCTTCACCTGGTCAGCTGGTAGTGGCGGTTGGTACCTACCAGAACATAGCAAAAAAACAAAACATTTTTCAATATCCGTATTCTTAAAAGAGAGAGTAAAGTGACGCAAGAGCGTATAACTCGTTAAAGAACAATCGAAGATTAAGAAAAAATGAAGTTCAAGAAGAGAAAAACTAAGGACAAACAAAAATCAATCTTTATTCATATTATATAATCAAGGGTCTCTATTACATTGAATAAGGTCCTCCATTTATAGAGCAAATAAACTAAAAGAAGTTAAAAAGGAAGTAAACTAATAATAAACTATAATTGCATCAAAATATCAAAACTGAACTTATCTAATCTAATTAAATATTTTTTGAATCAAACTCTTATTATAAAATCCTAATTAAAATCTATCTTGATCTCCATCATGAAGTCTTTCTCTTTACAATAAGAACGTTGACGAATTGCAAAATGAAGTGGTATCATTAAATTGCCACTCAAGATATTCATAGAGCAACGATTATAGACTTGTTTGGAATATTATTTTGCTTAGCATGAGGTAAATGAAATGTGAAATATATTAACTTAAAAAATGGAAGAATATGATAACTCACCCAACATTTCTTGTATCCAACTCCTTCTTTGAGAGCGTGATTGAGACCACTGAAACCTTCCTTGTGGTTTCCAGACTGTGGCATGAAGAGACGTTGTTACAAGAGCCAAGTACATTTTGTCATATAAGTAAGCAATCCTAACAACAGGAAATTATTTTATCTCACAAGTTTAAATGATAAAAGTTTCATTTCCACAATCCATTTGAACTGCTCTTACATTTGGAGGCCTTCCTCTAACGGTTCCCATGTGTCAGTTATGTCAGTGGATTGAATAGTTGTGATTTGGTGAAGACCAACAATTCTCCTCTGCCATACACATAGAGCATTATATATCCAAATCATCATCCGAAATCAAAACAATAGTGATAGACATATACAGAGATAACTGTAGGCAATAAGAACCTTAATCAACTCCACAATTGTTACAGTTTTGTTGATGGCCCTGCCCATTGCTTTGAACAGAATTTCATCAGAACCCTTTTCCTACAATGCATTGTAGAATTAAAAACATAAGATAAATCTGAGAAATAATGTGGAAGACATCATCCATACTAGAAGCCAATATGACATAATGGTAAAAAACCTACGCAAACGAAGATTTTAATCGTAACAATGGTCACAAGAAAACAATCATAACATGCTAGGCATTTCTCCCAATAATCTTAGATACACATATCTGCTCTCGCACCCCGATCGATCCAACTTTTCACTGAAATGTTTGATGAAAAAAAATCTTTACAAAACATAATTGCTACAACGTCTTTATTACAGGATTGCATGACTCTTGTAAATAAGAACTTCTACAAGTCTAGCAAAACATGTCCCAACCATCTAACTTGTCCTTCCCCTAATTTGTATTCATGTTGGTCTCTGCCACTGATGCCGTGTGACCCCATTATTATTGTATAAATTCTAATATAGTCACTCAATCCATTCGTTCAAATTATGGTCTCCTTATGGTTTTGTCCCTAAATGTCTACCAGTTGATTCCATAAAGCATAACTAGCATGACAATCCTTGAACAACATGTTATCTAACTTGGTAGGTGTCTTCTAACCACATAGCACAATGTGTTTCCATTTAGCGCACTCACTAATATTATCTAATATACATCCTTATCAAATTTTCTTGTCACTGATAATCTTACCTAAATACCTAGAGAAATACCCTATGGGATAATATGATTCTATACTGTAATTCAACTGGTATCCTTGTTCAGTTATGATTGAAACAATATTCTAAATATTTTTTCTTGATTTTACTTATCTTCAAAACCTCTAGATTCTAAAATGCTATTCCCCATAATACTGGGAGAAGGAACTCTAATTTCTTTATAGCATTAAAAGACACGTAAATACTGTAATAAAAAGGATAGCAAATTGAAACAATGAATAAATAAACAGAGTCCATTTCTATAAGCAAAAAAATGCTATACCATGCAAACGGCATTAAACGCTCAGGAAAACAAAAGGGGTGCAAACTAAACTAAATTATCAGGTAAAAACAGATATAAACACGTCAAAAACAAACTAATTATTTTTCATACATACACGCAGAGAGAGAGCATACATGTATAATCATATATAACTACCTCAAGCAGACTCATGGCATAAGTAATATAGCTCCGCATCCTGCCTTGGCTTGTAATCCGAATCTCGTTCTCATTAATCGGTGTTTCCATTTTTGGTTTCTCCACCTTTTGGTACCGATCCATGCTCTACAAAAAAGTATTAAAAATCCTCAATCCAGTTTCACTTTTCAACAACGAAATACAAAAAAAAAAAATGATTTGATCAATAATTAAGAGAGGGAAAGGGGGTAACTAGTGGAAAAAATTGAATAGTAGATGAGGAAAGTAGATTAAATTGAATTCTACTTTTGGTTTTAATTGAAAACTCAGTTGAACAATAATTTGCTCTACGATGTTAAGCCCTGTTCTTCGGCTCCGTTTCTCTGTTACGCCCTACCCCTATTTGCAGCGAATTCTAGACAATTTATATTGGCGGTTATGGAGCCGCCCTAGTTCCAGTTAACCGGTTCTACTGTAGGATTTGGATTGGGGAGTTGGGAACTGGGATAAACTTATCCTCACGTAGGATAGGCCAGCCGGATATTTAGGCCCCATTTGGTATAGCTCAAAAATTGAATAAAAAATTAAATTAAATAATTAATTAATTTTAATTATATACTATTCATAAATTTTATCAACTTTTCAATTACATAATTTTTTATCAACTTTTACTAAAAATTAATTTTTTTACTCCACCAACCACATGGTCCATGGGCTTAATGCCAACTCTAAGGCACAAGAATTAAATGATAGAATTTACTTTTTTATGGTGAAGGTAATTATGTTTGCACTTTTTATTTGTTACATCATATTTTAATTAAATTTAAATTTATTAATGTTTGTTCATTGCAGTATTTATATTTTTAATTTTTTCGACACATTTTTATTTTCAACATATCATTAGTGTATCTCATCTCTAATAATAGTTTTCATCCAAAAGACACATTGGGAGGGCATATAAGAATTTATTTACCCAAACTATATTTTAAAAAAATGCGCAGGCAACATGGTATTTTTTCCACATTCCTAAGCACTAGGAAAACATTTTGAGAAAAATTATCATAAAGGAGGAGATGTGCTAATTAATGAAAGATCGAAAACAAAAATTGGATCAAATTTAAGTTAGGGATACAAGTGTTTCGATGGAAAAGATTGATGGCCTTAAATGCAATTAGAACGTGATGCCACAAATTGAATGGTTATGTCTATATGGTTTGTCCATTCCAAGCTAGAGATATATAATGATGACTTTTCAATCTATCTTAAGTTTCAATGGACTAATTCTCTCTGAAAGTTGAGGTCCAAGCTCGACCAACTCGGATGCGGATTTTCGAGCATAGTACGAAATAGGAAAAGTTTGCTCATTTGAAATGAGAATTAAATTAAATAATCCGAATGAAACCATCGAGCAACTACAGTAGAATTTTCACTATTTTCAAGTTTGATCTTATTTTCTTTATTCAACGAGATAATAAGATTTTTTAGCACCAAATACCTCTCTATTAGATGACTAATGATTAGATGGAATTTGCAGTACTTGAGATGATCAACCGACCTATCTCTTCTAACCTTTTTAGCGTTGCAAGTTCAATTATCTTTTGTTGGAGAGATTGATCTAAGATCATGGAGACTTCAGAGTATGAGAATGGGTAATCATTTTCTTCAAGTTCTTTCGAAGTCGGAAGATCGTCTTTAGAACTCACCCTTTATTAGGTTTAAACTCTCACTTTGACTTTTGAAAAGTGATCTTTGTGGGAACGGTGGAAATTGTTATGGCTTATTTGGGCTTACCACACTTATCGTCTTTATTGACATCTTCCATACAGATTTTCTTGTCACGTGTATCACTTGACAAGTAAATTTCGTGCCTAAGAATTTGGATCTCTAGATCATGAGCACGTGTGGTCATTTTTTTCAAAATAGTGAGACACATTTGCTTGGAAATCATAAAGTACATATAAATAGAGATGCTTCATTAATACGTTCTTTGCAGTTAAGAAAGAGATTTCTCCAATGTTATGATCTATACTCTAAGACCAGCTCTTCGTTGTTTTGCTTTGTCCTAGCAAGATTTGGAAGGCTGGTTGTTCGTTAGTACTATAGAAGAGTGTTAAGAACTCCCGCTCTAGTTAATTCCAACTATCAAATGATCCAATCGATAAATATGTATACCATTCAGATATCATGCCTTTGAGAGAGTGTACAAACTGCTTCACCATGGTATCATTTTGGGAGTGATTAAAATTCAATTAAAATTAAAGATATAGTCGTTATTGGGTCTCACTCGTCTAATAAAAGTTAACAATAACTACTAGTTTTTCAATTCTAATTCGATTTTAATCTCTACCAAACACGCCCTAAATGAGCCACATATTGCTTTGAGTTTCGCTTTCCATCAATATATTATAACATTGAAGGTTGGGAGCTGAATGACATCCTCATTTCATCGATCAGACAATTGTAGGTTTGACATAAACCATTAGAGTACTATGAACCACCATACTGGTCACGGATGGTGTCGGCAATCATATATTGGAGTTGTTAGACGGACACACAAAGGTTAAATTAGAGCTTGCATATGTATGCAAGTGTATTACTTAGATGCAACCTAAAAAATGGGCTAAGTGGCTGACCATGGCAAAATTGTGGTACAACACCACCTTACACACTTCAGTTAAGATGAGTCTCAAGCATTATATGATATTAAACCACCCCAACAAGCTATGGGCCACTATCAGCAAACAAATGTGGCAGTTGTGGAAGATTTGTTATGCGAAAGGTATAAACTGAACCAACAACTTAGGGAAAACTTGGCACAAGCTAGGGCGATGATGAAAAATGTAGGCTGACAAGTGACAAAAATTCAAATCGGGGGCAAAACACAGCATCACTGCTTGAGTTGAAATGTTTATTTTAAGTTGTAATAAGTAAATGTTACCGTTTATTTTTCATGATTATCATGTTTATCTAGATTAATTTCATAATTTTATATTTATTGTGCAATATCATATAATTATCTCATCATGATTAAATATATTTTTTCATTGAAATGTACTTTGGATACCCTTGACGATCGATGTGCTTATTGTTTTAACTATGATATTCTTATAATTTTGTCAAGATCGAATTTAATTATATAATATAATATAATTATTTATTATGTGCTTATGACTAGTCTTTTTTATGGATTGAATTTAGACCCCGAATGGAAAGTTTTTCTTTCTTCTTTTCTCTTTCTCGCGCTTTTTTTTATTTTTGTGCAAGTTAATTTATATATGATAAATGGATAGTTAATAATGGAAGTTAATAGTAAGAGATTAAAGTCTATTTATTTAATTAGCAGAAATTATATCCCAATAAGCTCGTGTTTGATAGTCATTATCATTCGTGGACCTAGCTAAAGCCGATGCCTGCACTGAACTTTGAGCCACCCAATTTTTTCATCAACCCAATATTAAAAAAAAACAAGTGGGCTATTATTTGGCCCAAACTGAATGATAGAAGCCCTACAAATTACAATCCATTACAATACCAGACCGCCGATCGAGAACACCCATGCATCCACAGCGCAGCCAACATTTTTTATTGCTTTCATCAGTTTTCATCCATTGGTTCTGCACTAATTTCATCAGTTTTCATCAGCCACAACCAGGTGCCCAATAGGTGAGTTTTCTATAATTTCTGCCCCTGTATTCATCTGCTATTGCTTGGCTATAGCCTGTAGACCGTAGAGTATATGCAAATTACCAAATAAGAATAACCAGTAATCACAAGTGTTGTTGGGACTTGGGTATTCATCTGCGTCTGGCAATCTGGTCTGCTATTGAATTTTCTGTCGCGGTGTCGCCTATCGGAGTTTGGTTGTTGGCTGTTGGGTCTTGCCGTGTTGGGTCTTGGCGTGTTGGGTGTTGGCCATCTGCTATTGAATTTTGAAACCAACTAACCAAGCAAGCCTATAATTATAAACATTTTGTTTCCTTGATTGTGGCATGTGTGCTTAGCAATGGAATTATGGAAACTCGAAAGGCATTAGACATGTTTGGTAATTGGTATATTCTCGTATATAAGTCTGAAATTGAGGAAATTAATTGAAAAATTAAGCTTTATTTCTATGAGTAATGCTATTTACTAGTTGGTACATTAGACATTTTTTTTTTACTTCTACTAATACCGCCGGCACTGAAAAAAATTATTGGGTCCGCACCCCCAGTCATTATAAAGAGAAATCAAGGAAAATGGTATTTTGAATAGTAATTTTTTTTTGATAATGTGTGGATAAAATGTATGTAAAATATTTTAATATGTGAATTATGTTGTTGAAAATTAATATGAGAAATAAAGAGTTTTGAAATAAAGAGAATAAAACCGGAGCTAAATGTCATTAGATTAGAAAGATTCAACATATTTCATCACGTCCTCGCAATGATGTCAAGAAGCTGGCCTTTTGCCCAACTCACCTATCATTTGCTTTACGTTCTAAAGTTTTAAGTCTCGCATATTGAGACAAGGTACTAGGATTAACATTACATTCTAGTCAACGCGCAGACTGGAATTCTGATAGGCAACCCATTTTTTTTCATTTTCATCACAATATTTATGTCTTAAATATTGGGTTTTAATATCCAATAAATTCAAACAATGATGTTAAAAAGATATCGGGTAATTGTATCAATACCAAAATTGATTGGCTTGTTCCGAGAATAAAGTGGAACAATTGGAAGCAACCGTCAACTTGTGTTGCCCGTGGTCCGTCCATCAATTGAATGGCCATTTATGAGTTAGCCCACTTTCCCTTTAGTTT